GGATTTTTTTTTGTTTTTTACGAGAAATACATATTTCTTGTTTGTGTATTAGTTGAGCAAACTAATTTTAGTAAGCAAGCCTTGGGAAAACTGATTTGTTTAATACAAGTGTAAACTGTATGGTGCGTAAATTGAATTCGTACCATGGACGCAGAATTAAGAGAGTTTCTTCTTCAATTGTTCAAATTTCAAACGGAACAAAGTCTCGCGTTGCAAAAGCAACAACTTCAACGACAACTTGAAAGTGAGGAGAAATTTAAAAAAGAGTTGTTGGAACAACAGAAACGCGTCGAACAAATCTTTATGAAAACACAGGAGGAACAGAGGAAACTTCTGGAGGCAACACGGTTAACGAATGCAAGCGAGAATCATAACGCATTCTCACAGACGGCTGTGTGGAACGCTATTGAAAGTTTCAATTGTAATCCAGAAGACGATGTCACGTTTGCTCATTTCTAGAGAAGATATGAGGATATTTTTGTATCGGATTGCGGTACATTGACAGACGCTAAAAAAGTTAGGTTTCTGCTAAGAAAATTGGGAACTGCCGAGCATACAAAGTTCGTGAATTTTATCCTTCCAAAAAAGACCAGTGAGTTGAACTTTCAAGAGAGAGTTACTCTACTAACAAAACTGTTTTCTACAAAAACTTCTCTTTTTCACAGGAGATATAAGTGTATGAATGTCACTAGAAGAGAGGAAGATGATTACACTACTTATGCAATTATTGTAAACAAGCATTGCGACAATTTTAAACTGGAGGAATTATCATCAGATAATTTTAAATGTTTAATATTTGTGCAAGGGCTGGTTTTAGGTAAAGACGCTGAGATCAGGCGTCATGTTTTAAATAAACTCGAAAATGAGCCGAATTTAAAATTACAAAGCTTAGCGGACGACTGTGAACGGTTTGTTGCGTTGAAACAGGACAGTCGTGACATAGAGGAACGCGGAGTGTCGCACATTAAAAAGGTCCATCAGAAGAAAAATTTAACTTCAAAAAATAACCAGAGGAAAAAACAGGGAAAAGATCCACCTGGACCGTGTTGGAGGTGTGGAGATAAACATTGGTACAATGAGTGTCCCTACATATTCAAACAATGTGACAACTGCTACCAGAAGGGGCATAAGGCATCACATTGAAGGAAAAAATCTGGTAGAAAGAAGACATCCATTAAACTAACGAAAATTGAACCTGAGGAACGAAATACCCGGAAATTTGTACAGGTCAAAATGTTTAAAAAGAAAGTAAGACTACAACTTGATAGTGGGTCTGATTTTTCCATCATTAATATACAGACATGGAAGAAGCTTGGGAGATCCACTATGATTAAATTACATAAAACGGCGAGAAGCGTCAGTGGTGAAAAAATCACCTTCGAAGGAGAATTATTGACGAATATTTCTTTTCAGAATAAGACCGAAAAAGCGAAAATTTTTGTCATGCGAAAATCAACTAACCTCTTTGGAACTGATCTGTTCGAAAAAATTAGACTATGGGATCTGCCTTTATGCTCTTTTTGTCAAAAAGTTGAGGATTCGAATGTGGAGAGGGAGTTAAAAGAGAATTTTCCAGACGTATTTACAGGCGGTCTTAGAAGGTGTACAAAAGCGGTAGCAAAATTTGAAGTCAAAGAAAATGAACAGCCAGTGTTCAAAAAGAAAAGAAAGGTTCCATACGCCGCTATAGAACAAATAGACGGTGAATTAGAAAGACTCGAAAACATGGGTGTCCTCGAAAAAATTGATCACAGTGAGTGGACTACGCCAACAGTTTACATCAAAAAGAAGAGCAAGGAGATTAGGGTTTGTGCCGATTTCTCAACAGGGTTAAACAATGCATTAAAGGATCACCATTATCCCCTTCCGAGCCCTGAAGAAATATTCGCGAAACTGAGTGGAGGGAAATATTTTTCTAAAATCGACCTCAGTGACGCGTATTTACAAATCCCAGTCGATCAGGAGTGTTCAAAGCTGCTATGCATCAATACGCATAAGGGATTATACAAGTTTAACAGACTTCCTTTTGGGGTCAAAGTCGCCCCTGCGATTTTTCAGCAAACAATGGACATGATGTTAAGTGGGCTGGACTTCGCAGTAGGGTACCTGGACGATGTGTTAATGAACAGCGCTAGCAAAGAACAACACAAAGCTCATGTAAACCAAGTATTCAAAAGGATCCAGGATTATGGATTTAAACTGAAACAGGAAAAATGTACCTTTTTCATGGAAAAAATAAAATACTTGGGGCAAATCAGCGATGAACATGGAAGAAGGCCGGATCCAGATAGATCGAGTGCAATAAGGGACATGCCTGCTCCAGAAAATATTGCGTCTCTACAAAGTTTCTTAGGGTTGGCGAATTATTACAATGTATTCGTGCCAAATATGCATAAACTAAGATCACCCTTAAATGAATTGTTAAGGAAGGACCAAAAATGGGTCTGGACGCAAGAGTGCGAAGAAGCATTTCAGGAAATTAAAGATATATTAACGTCTGACTTGTTTTTGGCATTCTGTTTATAATCCCAAGCGTGATATTATAGTTGCAAGCGATGCCAGTGCCTATGGCATAGGAGCATGCATACTACACAAAATGGATGATGGAAAAATAAAACCCATAGCCCATGCACCCCGTTCACTTTTACCAGCCGAAAAGAACTACTCGCAAATTGAGAAAGAGGCGCTAAGCATTATATTCGCAGTAAAGAAATTTCATCGTTTCTTGCACGGTAGACAATTTCTGTTACAAACAGATCACAAACCTTTACTAACGATTTTTGGATCGAAAAAGGACTACCACAACATACGGCGAATAGACTCCAAAGATGGGGTACCATTCTTCTGAATTATAATTTTCAAATGGAGTATGTACCATCTAAAAGACTTGGTCATGCAGATGGCTTATCAAGGTTAATACCTAAGCACACAGAACCATTGGAGGATATGGTAATAGCAGCCATTCAAGTGGAAGTTGAAGTAAAAAATACTTTGTGACACGATAAGAGAACTTCCAGTAACACTTGATGAGATTAAGAGTAAGGCAGAGGTGGACGAATTTATTATAAGCACGAAAGAAAAAATCAACAGTAACCAACTGGATGAGGAAATTTATTCAATTTGTGATAACGTCCTGTTATATAGCGACAGGGTCGTAATTCCTACGACATTACAGAAAAGAATGCTCAAGGAATTCCATGTAGGACATCCAGGCATATCAAGAATGAAAAGCCTTATGCGCTCTTTCGTTTTCTGGCCAAACATGGATAAGAATATAGAAGAAAAAGTCAGGGAGTTTAGAGGATGCGCATTAGCTATGAAAGCTCCTCCGACTCAATTCGGTTCGTGGGCAAAACCGGACCGACCTTGGTCGAGAATTCACTTGGATTTTGCTGGACCGCTAGATGGTTTCTACTATCTCATTGTTATAGACAGTCTATGTAAGTGGCCGGAAGTACTGAAATGCAAGAACCCCACATCCGAGGCAGCTATTAACTTCCTGTATGAACTATTACCACCCAAGGAGTAATTGGCAAGCGGAGAGATTCGTGGATACATTCAAGAGAGCCCTGAGAAAGGCTAGTGGATCACCGACGGATAAGTCAATCCAACAGTTCTTACAAGTTTACAGTGTCACTCCGAATGCAAACATCGAAACGTCGAAGACACCTGCTGAGGTCATGTTCGGACGCAAGTTTAGATCAATTTTCCACAATTTGTTACCAAACCAGGATAGGCCAAACCTCAAAAAACCAATAACAAAAAAAACGGTATAAAGTTGGCGAAAGAGTTTTCTACAAGATGCATAGAAATAATAGGACCTTTTGGGAGTCCGGCACTATTGAGAAACAAATAGGCAACATGGTCTATATGATTAAGGGACCAGATTTCGTGCACAAACGTCACACTAACCAAATCCGGAAAAGATACTCGAACAGTGAGGTGACCAGATCGCCCGAGGAGGACATCATGGACACAGTGTTTGATACTTTTCAGGTGCCCATACCAGAGACAGCTCCTGAGAATAGGAGGTCAGTAAGAAAACGGAAATCAACGGAGTTGATTAGGGTGAACCCAAAACAAAAACGTTATTAATTCCCAGACGGGATATTTTCAAAGGGGGGTATTGCACCGGCCTCTAACACAAGGGAATTACACCGGTTCTCACTATATATAGTGCCAGTAATACCTACCCGGTGTAAGCAGCGACAGTACTACAACTGCCTAGCTGAGTAGTACCCGTTTCCTACCTTTGTATCTGTGATGTTAAATACACTTGTTCTTTAAACCAACTTCGACTTGATTTTCTTATTTTTACTATTGTGCCACGACACAACAGTATATCTTTCTTTCCTTCTGTTTGAGTGTCTGTTGTATATCTTCTTTCTTTCTTTCTTTCTTTCTTTTTTTTTTTCTTTCTTTCGTTTTTTCTTTTTATAATCCGTTGTATTATTTATTCTTGAAATATTACAATTTTTTTTCAAACTCACTTTTTACTTCATATAGTTTCTTTCTTTTCTTTCTTTCTTTTCTTTCTTTCTTTTCTTTCTTCCTTTCTTTCTTTCTTTCTTTCTTTCTTTCTTTCTTTCTTTCGTTCTTTCTTCTTAATGCTGCTGGTCTTTATTATTTTACGCTTTTAAATTTTTTCTTCAAATTTCTCTCGTCTATTACATTTTTTTCTTATATTTGTGGAACTCCATGATTTCCGGCCATCTTTAATCTGCAAAAACAGAAATGCAATGACAATCGCTAATTACTCTCCTCCTGATTACTATTTCCCTTTTCCGCTTATTATTAATGTTTCTGTTCCTAATTCTTCTGCACCCAATAACCCCTTGTCTCCTGGTGGTTTTACTGCCTTGCCTTCTTTCTTTCTTTCTTTCTTTCTTTCTTTCTTTCTTTCTTTCTTTCTTTCTTTCTACGATACGCTGTATTATTTATTCTTGTTATATTATAACTTGCTTTTTACACTCAGTTGGGAAACATACGAATCCACCTCTCCTTTCTCCCCAGTTTCGGGTTATTTAGCAAGACATGTATCACTAAAGCGTTATTATATCAAAAAAAAATTTAAACAAACTAAAAAGCATTTTATGACTTTAGATATCCTGGAAATGGTTGAAATGTCGTCGGAAACGAATCAGTCACTCAATTAATCAGTACAAAATTCTTTACAAATTCTACTTTTGACTTTTTTTTTATTTTCTAGTAAAATAAATAAATAAAAAACCTGTTCCGCCTTCATTCAAATGTTTATTTATTTTTTTTTTTAACTTTTTAACGCTCTTTCTTTCTTTCACTAAATGTCTTTGAAATAATTTTGACCATATCCTATCATTTCCAGAACGTAAACAAAAGCACTCTCGAAAATTTATCTGCAATTTCGTGGTTTTTACTTTTGAGGCTAATATTGGACTGAAGAATTCCTGTTTCACCGAATCGCAAAAGACACACTTAAACCAAACGATAAGACGAAAAGGACCCAGTGAGAAAAATCGAAAAAACTAAATTAAAAAACCCACAAAAAACAATAGACACCATGAGAATAAAACATACACCAATGTCGATCTGTATGTCGGAAAAAACTACGCATTGATCGAGATGACTTTTGTTTATTAAACATTGTTTTTACGTGCGGCATTTTTATCTATCGATCTGAACATTTATCGATCTCAATAATCTTTGTACACACGCACGCACACGCTCGAGCGCACGCGCACATACACACACACACATATATATATATATTGATTTAAGAGAATTATTTTATCAGTTTCAAACGACATCAGAACTGGTTGTTCGTTCAATGAATACTGAATGATCCTATCTATCTATCTATCTATCTATCTATCTATCTATCTATCTATCTATCTATCTATCTATGTCCGTTAATATCTATCTATCTATCTATCTATCTATCTATCTATGTCCGTTAATATCTATCTATCTATCTATCTATCTATCTATCTATCTATCTATCTATCTATCTATCTATCTATCTATGTCCGTTAATATCTATCTATCTATCTATCTATCTATCTATCTATCTATCTATCTATCTATCTATCTATCTATGTCCCTTAATTTCTATCTATCTGTCTATCTATTTCAGTCTGTTTATACCTATCTAAGTTCAGTACTCGTTTCATTGTTTATATCTATATTTCTGATTCTTTATTCATTGCTAATCTATATGACAGTAAACGCTGGAAAATCTCATCACAGATGAAGAAGTGGCTTAAGGCAAGAGGAATGATAAAAGTGAGATAAAGGGACAGAAATTAGCTTCTTTTCACGAATGTCATTGGAAACAAAGAAAGAGTTTTGGACAATTATGTAATAATGTAATCTCCTAAATGGTAGTAAATGCTGGACAATCTCCTCACAGATGAAGAAGAGACGTGAAGCGACAGAAATGTGGTTCTACTGACGAGTGTCCTTAGAAACAAAGAAAAGAGTGTTGGACGGCTATGTAATATCTAATCTCCTATATGGCAGTGAATGCTGGACAATCTCCTCACAGATGAAGAAGAGACTTGAAGCGTCAGAGATGTGGTTCTACTGACGACTGTCCTTAGAAACAAAGAAAAGACTGTTGGACGGATATGTAATATCTAATCTCCTATATGGCAGTGAATGCTGGACAATCTCCTCACAGATGAAGAAGAGACTTGAAGCGATATAGATGTGGTTCTACTGACGAGTGTCCTTAGAAACAAAGAAAAGACTGTTGGACGGCTATGTAATATCTAATCTCCTATATGGCAGTGAATGCTGGACAATCTCCTCACAGATGAAGAAGAGACTTGAAGCGACAGAGATGTGGTTCTACTGACGAGTGTCCTTAGAAACAAAGAAAAGAGTGTTCGACGACTATGTAATATCTAATCTCCTATATGGCAGTGAATGCTGGACAATCTCCTCACAGATGAAGAAGAGACTTGAAGCGACAGAGATGTGGTTCTACTGATGAGTGTCCTTGGAAACAAAGAAAAGAGTGTTGGATGGCTATGTAATATCTAATCTCCTATATTGCAGTGAATGCTGGACAATCTCCTCACAGATGAAGAAGAGACTTGAAGCGACAGAGATGTGGTTCTACTGACGAGTGTCCTTAGAAACAAAGAAAAGAGTGTTGGGCGGCTATGTAATATCTAATCCCCTATATGGCAGTGAATGCTGGAAAATCTCCTCTGAGATGAAGAAGAGACTTGAAGCGACAGAGATGTGGTTCTACTGACGAGTGTCCTTAGAAACAAAGAAAAGTGTGTTGGACGGCTATGTAATATTTAATCTCCTCTATGGCAGTGAATGCTGGAAAATCTCCTCTGAGATGAAGAAGAGACTTGAAGCGAAATAGATGTGGTTCTACTGACGAGTATCCTTAGAAACAAAGAAAAGAGTGTTGGGCGGCTATGTAATATCTAATCTCCTATATGGCAGTGAATGCTGGACAATCTCCTCACAGAGGAAAAAGAGACTTGAAGCGACAGAGATGTGGTTCTACTGATGAGTGTCCATGGAAACAAAGAAAAGAGTGTTAGACGGCTATGTAATATCTAATCTCCTATATGGCAGTGAATGCTGGACAATCTCCTTACAGATTAAGAAGAGACTTGAAGCGACAGAGATGTGGTTCTACTGATGAGTGTCCATGGAAACAAAGAAATGAGTGTTCGACGACTATGTAATATCTAATCTCCTATATGGCAGTGAATGCTGGACAATCTCCTCACAGATGAAGAAGAGACTCGAAGCTACAGAGATGTGGTTCTACTGATGAGTGTCCTTGGAAACAAAGAAAAGAGTGTTGGACGGCTATGTAATATCTAATCTCCTATATGGCAGTGAATCCTGGAAAATCTCCTCATAGATGAAGAAGAGACTTGAAGCGTCAGAGATGTGGTTCTACTGACGACTGTCCTTAGAAACAAAGAAAAGACTGTTGGACGGATATGTAATATCTAATCTCCTATATGGCAGTGAATGCTGGACAATCTCCTCACAGATGAAGAAGAGACTTGAAGCGATATAGATGTGGTTCTACTGACGAGTGTCCTTAGAAACAAAGAAAAGACTGTTGGACGGCTATGTAATATCTAATCTCCTATATGGCAGTGAATGCTGGACAATCTCTTCACAGATGAAGAAGAGACTTGAAGCGATATAGATGTGGTTCTACTGACGAGTGTCCTTAGAAACAAAGAAAAGACTGTTGGACGGCTCTGTAATATCTAATCTCCTATATGGCAGTGAATGCTGGACAATCTCCTCACAGATGAAGAAGAGACTTGAAGCGACAGAGATGTGGTTCTACTGACGAGTATCCTTAGAAACAAAGAAAAGAGTGTTGGGCGGCTATGTAATATCTAATCTCCTATATGGCAGTGAATGCTGGACAATCTCCTCACAGAGGAAAAAGAGACTTGAAGCGACAGAGATGTGGTTCTACTGATGAGTGTCCATGGAAACAAAGAAAAGAGTGTTAGACGGCTATGTAATATCTAATCTCCTATATGGCAGTGAATGCTGGACAATCTCCTTACAGATTAAGAAGACACTTGAAGCGACAGAGATGTGGTTCTACTGACGAGTGTCCTTGGAAACAAAGAAAAGAGTGTTGGACGGCTATGTAATATCTAATCTCCTATATGGCAGTGAATGCTGGAAAATCTCCTCACAGATGAAAAAGAGACTTGAAGCGACAGAGATGTGGTTCTACTGATGAGTGTCCATGGAAACAAAGAAATGAGTGTTCGACGACTATGTAATATCTAATCTCCTATATGGCAGTGAATGCTGGACAATCTCCTCACAGATGAAGAAGAGACTCGAAGCGACAGAGATGTGGTTCTACTGATGAGTGTCCTTGGAAACAAAGAAAAGAGTGTTGGACGGCTATGTAATATCTAATCTCCTATATGGCAGTGAATCCTGGAAAATCTCCTCATAGATGAAGAAAAGACTTGAAGCGACAGAGATGTTGTTTACTGACATTAAATAACCCATTAAATAAACCAAACCAATCTAAACCAAAGTCTACATCTATTCATACGAATCTATCCTAAAAATTTTGTCGGCATTAAATAACCCATTGAGGTTGATATGCCGTTAAACAAAATACACCCAACCAATCTAAACCAAAGAATACATACTCTATTCAGACGAATCTATCCTAAAAATGCCGTTAAACAAAACCAACCCAAACCATTTATAAAGTTTGAATTGGCAATTGGCAAATGTTTTTCTAACTATTCCAATAAATAATATAATAATTCAATTGTGTAATTAAAGAATCTAATAAACAAATATTGTTTATTATTTTTGTTGTCAATTGTGAAGATGTGTGATAGAAAAAAAACTTTTATTATATAACTTACTTTAGCCATTTTTACCGTAAATTAATGGGATCTTGCCGCCAATCAAGGCGTGCGTTTGAATTAATTATTTTCTTCTTGCTTTCCTCGACTATCTTGTCTAATGGATCTCGGAGTTTTCCTTCCGAATCCATAATTCGAAGATAAACGGAAATGGCATGTGTCTTGGAATAATAGATGAGGAATTCAGTCAAGTGAAATAAATGGAAAGAAAAAGTCAGTTTAGAAATC